ATATGATGTGCTTAATTTTAGGAATTGTTATTTATCTTTACATATTTAGTTTATTGAGTTGTACTATATATTGACGATTTCTCAATGAATAAAAGAACAATTCCCATTTCTATCATCTCCAAAATTTCTTCTTACCAAACAAGCAAAAAGGTTGTATCAAGTACAAAATGGTAAAGTGTTGTTAAGAATTGGGCTGCCTCACTATACTTGGCCTGTTGGGCCGTTTGTTCAATTGGGCTCTTAAGTGAAACGGGGTTGGCCTCTTTAAGTGGTTGGATATCTGCCATGCATGTGGCTTCTCTCCTACCCTTGGATGATGACTGTTCATATGGTTATTTTGACTTGGTCCTTGGCTCCCTGATTCGAGATGCTTCCATTTTTGGGTCTCTTAGTTTTCTTCCCTTTTCTCTCTAAGTGAAAGTCTAGGGTTTTCTCTTCTGTAAATCGTAATCGATCCAAGTGATTCTTCAATCCTTTCTTTGTGAATAGCTGTGTAGTATGTATAGTTTTTAGGGATTGATTATTGTGAGATTACGGTTGTATTTGAGGCTATATTGAACTTGAAGAAACCTCTTCATACATATGTAGTGATTCTTGTTCTATTTTAGTGGATCTAGAGCTATATCATTTGTGGATGCTCAACGTGTGAATAGGTCATTTGAGACTGAACATTCGGACCCTCCGGGGTGAAAAATCTTGTGTTCTGTTTCATTTTATGTTTCTGCACTTTTATTTGGTGTTTGAGAACTTCGATCCTTAGTTATTGTGAATTTGGGCCTTACAAGTGTATTACCGTCTACGCTTCCGAGCAAGCCAAAAGATTGTAATACTACACTTCGGCTCTTGGAGAAGTTTAGCTCGACAGTTTCACACGGCAAAAACCTTGCGGAGATGAGTCCAACGCCTCTTTTCGGGATTGCAAGAATTGACGTATCTGTCCACCATAAAAAGGTAGAAACCAGGAAGCATAGTGCAGGCATATCCAATGCCAACATGAAGTACAAAGAAGAAGTAAGAACATAGACGATGTATAACTGATCAGTGTTTAAAAAAAGCTCAAAAATCTTTCACCTTGTTCGGGGAAATTTTGTAGCCCATAGGACTAATCCTGTTGACAGTGCTAATTCTCCAGCCACATTGGAAAGCCAGTGTTTTCCCATTTCAGCATCTGAATTTGCATAAAAAGTAAAAGAATCTTGTTAGAATTTTGAGTTCTGGTACGTGAAGATGGAATATTCTATACCAACGTATAAGGGAATTTTGACCACTACGGCGTGCATATGAAGGTCGAAATAA